AGTTAAGAACAGATGTTGAATTATAGTCCAATCTATCTTTTTTGCTATTCTGATTGCACTGAGGACATCCCTGCAATTAACTGAGAATGAAAACAATATGGTTTTCTCAGGATGATGATAGGTGAGAGGGAGAATTTATCAATATTGCATTTTCATAGCTCTTTATTGTTTTTAAAATTATAATCTTTAAATTATTAAAAATTTGTCAATTTACTCACTTGTATGTGAAGTAAACTTTATTTTTAATAGTATATTTGTTTTGTGGGCTTTAACAAGTTTTGTTTGCTTTGAAGCATATAAATTAAGATCTGAAACAATAAACTAAAGCACTAGGAGTATACAGCATGTTGAGCTTGCATTTCCGTTTAATGTGGTTGAAACTGAAAAAAGTTTAGATTCAGAATGTTATTTATCAAATAGAGAAGACTCATCTTCTTTGGTCCAACTGTATAAATTATGTATAATGTTTAAGAACCAGGTCTGGCTTCCATCTCAGTTATTGATTTGAAATAGAGCATTTTGGCATCAGAAATGTAGACAGCAGGCGTTTCCTCCACTTAATGTATTCCCTCAAAACCAAGAAGCAGCTTGATGTAGACAGTTTTATGTAAGATTTGTCACGGATCCTGGGTGCTTTGGAAGCATCTCACGTTTTATTCAGTGTAATTCACTTTTTTGTATGGTGAAATGTGGGCAAATACATTCTTTCTAACAGTATCTCGGAGAGTATACTGTGAGCGTGTTAAATGTAAAATTTGCTTTGACTTCCTGGAAAGGGATTGCTAAGTAAATGTAATGGCTAATTTTATGTGTCAACTTTGACTGGGTCAGAGGAAACCTAGATAGCTGGTGAAACATTATTTCTGGGTGTGGCTATGATGGTGTTTCTGGATGAGATTAGCATTTTGGTTGGTAGATTGAGCTAAGCATATTACTCCCCTCAGTGTTGGTAGGCATTGTCTGATCCATTAAGGGCCTGAACAGAATAAAAAGGTGGAGGAGTATCCAGTTAACTCTGCCTGGCTGCTGAAGCTGGAACACTGAACTTCTCCTGTCCTCAGTGCTCCTAGTTTTTAGGCCTTCAAACCCAGACTGCAACACTATTGGCTCTCTGGCTCTCAGGCCTTTGAACTACACCTCTGGCTTTCCTGGGTCTATAACTTGCCGATGACAGACCATGGGTCTTTGCATCGTCTAAAATCATGTAAGCCAATACCTTATAATGAGTCTTTAAATAAGTGTGTGTGTGTGTGTATGTGTGTATTTGTATACTTATAAGTACATATGTGTTTATGTATCTGGCACTATTTCTATTTCTCTTGAGAAATCTGACTATAATATAGTAAATGAGATATTTGACTTGACTCTGGCAAGTAAATGTCTTTTTTAACTTATTGATACTATTCATGATTCCTCTTTCTCTAAGAGATGCTCCAAATGAGATGGTGAGCATGTAACTAATTCCAACTTTAGTGATTTATTAATTTTTGTATTTATAACTTTGGGAATAGACTGAGAAGTGATAAATACTTAACAATGAGGATAGTTATAGGATTAATGGAAGAAGGTTCAACTTACTTATTAGTTTCAGTACCAATAAATAAGGGAATAAATTTTACTCTAACATTTATTAAGAGCACTAAGTATGTAGAAAACTCTTATAGATAAATTAGGGACAATAAATGGCAAGAACTAGTAGCAGCACTGGTCTGGAAGAAGTGTCCCTTACATTCTGTTGGGTATCCTTGGCCACAGCTGAAAAGCTTACTCGAAGTAGATAGCAAATTTTTGCGGGGGATGGAATCAAAGTGAAACTGTGTCCTAGAGTTCTCCAGAAAAGCAGAATTAATAGGAGAGAGATATGTACATATGATATATTATGAAGGATTGGCTCACATGCTTACGGAGGCTGAGAAGTCTCATGATCTGCTGTGCACGTTGGAGACTGGGTGGTTTACAGTGTAATTCAATCTGAGACTGAAAGCCTGAGTACCAGGGAAGCCAATGCTATAAATCACAGTCTGAAGGCAGAAGATGAGATGAGATGTCCCAGCTCAATCAGTATGCCGTGAGCCATGTGTGTGGGAGACAAGCCTGTGGGGAATTCAACTGGTGCAATGAGATAGGGTGGGTGGCAACATGTGAAAAGCTGATGTCTAGAAAAGAAAGGGATTGGAAGAGAGAAAAGAAAATTTGTGGAGAATGAAGATAAATGGCAACTTTACACTCCCTAAATCCCTCCTTCCTCCATTTTTTGCAGAGATTGTTTTGCTAGATTTCTAGAAAAGAGAGATGAACACTTTTTAAAACTCTGAAGAAAGAAATGGGCAGAACAGAATACTGGGAGTAAGAAATGCTATAATTAAGTCCATTTATTAACAGCCGTGTGGTTCTCATATTCTCTTATTCTAGAGTCCCACAAATGACCTAGGAGCTGCATTATATTTATTAGAACTAAAAACAATCACTGTAAGTAACATATAAATTTAGGAGGAGAAGGATCTGTGAAAGGTTTTATAAATATAGGATAGATATATATCCTACTTGAAAGCTTTCTGTCTCTTCATTTTGAATTATGTCAATGGTATCTATGTTCTATAACTACCTCCCACTCACCCTCAGGCAAAGACAATAAAATACCTACTGATTACCTAAAATCACCAGGTCCAAACTCTTCATTTTCCTATCAGTTTATTGTTGTACACAAGAGGTACCATGCTACTATCAGACTTATATCCAGGTTTTTTATTTTTAAAAACTCAGAGAAAAAAAATGTTTCCAGTAATTTTCATTCAATGTGAATGACAAGAATATTATAGCTATAAACATTGAAATAATCATTTCATTTCTTCCTGAGGAAGTTTCATAAACAATGAAAAAGGGAATTCTATACAAAGCTAGTTTTAAATCACATTATCTCTCATTATTCTTTCATATGCATTTATGTTATTTTCAGATTAGCATATTAACCAGTTGGAGTATATAATGTGGAGAGTATGCATGTCCTCTAGAATTTGATGCTGTCTTCAAGACACATTGGTCAAAAATCCTTCCACAGCTTTGCTGCTCTGGGTAGCGTAATACAAGTACTTGTGAATGAATAAATTTTGGTAAGATCTCTTCCTTTTTCTTCTGCCTCTATACAAACATGGAGTACATTTTTGACATCTATTTGAAAGGAGGAGGTGTTCAGTCAACTCGATTTACCTAGACAAAATTATGGCATTAGCAGCTTTGCTTAGCAGTTCAAATGTACATCTTACCATTAAAGCATAAATATGAGTTTTCCCTTCTTTTCTTATTATAATAAATGTTGTCGCCAAATGAAAACGTAGTACTGTATATAACTGCTGGGGCCTATTCTCGCTATGTTTAATCCTCCTAAGCCAGTTTTCTTAAATTGGTGGAGATGGAAGACTATAGTAATTTTCCTAGCATGGCTGGCACGTGCTGCTTCAAAAGAGTCAGCAGTAAGCATGAAGACTGTGTTTTCCATATTTGTTCAAATGACTTCGATTTTGCTTTTAGAGTCAAGAGTCTTAAAAATTGGTTATTTTTCCAATTCCTTCTGCTAATAGTATATTTAAAAATTAGTATGTTCTTTAGGTACATAAAACTTAAAAAAATTAGTAATTATAATGTACCTTTAAAAATTTATAGTAAGTGGATCTCACAATTTGTTTTCTAATTAGTAATTGATAATTTTACATATTATAATGACAATGAAAATATTTTAACTATAGCTTTTCCTCTCCTTTTTTCTTCTAATCATACCTTTGATAATATTTTATAAAGGCTTATAGTCATAGCAGGGAATCAATTTACTACTTAAATTTTATGTACATGCAAGTACATTTAAAAATTAAGTAGGCTGGGCACGGTGGCTCATGCCTGTAATCCCAGCACTTTGAGAGGCCGAGGTGGGTGGATCATGAGGTCAGGAGTTCGAGATCAGCCTGGCCAACATGGTAAAACCCCATCTCTGCTAAAAATACAAAAATTAGCTGGGTGTGGTGGTGTGTGCCTGTAATTCCAGCTACTCAGGAGGCTGAGGCAGGAGAATTGCTTGAACCCAGGAGGTGGAGGCTGCAGTGAGCTGAGATTGTGCCACTGTACTCCAGCCTAGGCAACATAGCGAGACTCTGTCCCACCTTTCACCCCCAAATTAAGTAAATATTAACAAGAAAATAAGTATGATGTATTCTTTTCTTTTTTGAATACTTTATTAACCATATATATCATTTACAATTTAAATGTAAATATATTTCAAGAACCATGACTTGCTCATCTTTGTACTTCTTGCATTTAATTTAGTAGCTAACCCATGTTACCTATGTTCTGTTATCTTTCATTCCACCAGAGTAATGGGTGAGATATTTTCGAAAATGGGCCTCTGCTCTGCTTACATCTCTTTGCCGTATATCAAAAGTATCATTGCAAACATTAGATTACAAATAATATATTAATTTGTTTTTTGTTATAAATCTCTACATCACATAATTTTATTTTGAACTATCTGGGAAAATGGAATTTTTAAATAATCTAAATGTAAATAGCCTAACCACATCATCTAGGGAAACTGTTTTTAGTTTTTATTTAATAGGTTTTGTTTTGCGGAGCATTAAAAAAAGGTATTCACATTTAAAAGTCAACCTGTTTCTAGAGATGACACATACCTCAGACTCTAGGCATGCATTTCTGTAGAACTAGTGAGGACTACTGGAATAGATTCACAGCTTACAGAAAGTGGACATAGAATTCTCAATGATATGTCTTTAGATCCCTACAGTTTCTCCCCTACAGAGGATTTAGTCAGTATACTTCACATTGTTATTTACTGTTTTGGTATACTGAGTGTGTTTCTATTTACCATCCACAGCTTTACAATATATATCTCAGCATAACAATTATATTGTGATGGAAGAGTTAGTAATTTTTACATATATTCACTAGACTATGTATATGAAAAAAATCACTTTTCTTTAGATATAGCACTTATCTTTTTTTTTGGTGCAGATAAAGCTCATATATAACTTTTCCACTTTCTGATCTAGTACAAATCATAACTTACAATTATTTCTAAATACTTCAGTGGATTGAAATTTTGGCAAGCATTTTTCATGGGTGTTATGCTTTTGACATTTTATGCTACATTGTGATGTTTATTTTGCTGCTTGTTTTGTAGGACACTTTTTAGAATCAAAGAATAAGAAAACGTTGTACAGGCAAACAGTGGTCTAGAAATCTACAGAGACAATCTTAGTTGACATATAAAAGTGTAAATATTACTATGAAATGGAACAGTTCTGCATTTGTGTTTGATGTTTATATTGGTTGCAATTGGCTTCCACACGAGTGCACAGTAGTCTACAATAATCCCACAGGCTCAGATATGGGTTAAGAGAAAGGCCATAGGCCTCAAGGCTTGTAACACATACTCTTTCTTTTTTCTCATCATCCACATGCCAGCACATGGAAGAAACTTTGTTCTTTTTTCTCATTTGAAGAGGTATATTTTTCAACTGCCTTTTGGTAGCTTCTGGAAGCTTTGGAAAAGGTGTGTTCTACATGGAAGATGAAGTCTCGTTTTCTCTCAGTGCTATCTTAGTTTCTGCAGCTCCTGTCTCAGCCAGGATGGCAGAGGCTGACCCAGTTTGTGCAGCAGCTTTGAGAGTTCCACATTGTGATCTCGATAGTAGCTTGACAGAAATGTCCTGCTCTAAGTGGAGAGGAGGAGAAAAAAGTACATTTTATTTTGTTTATTATATTTCAAATACTTTGACTATGTTGAAGTAAGTGTCAGGTATACCAGATCTGGATTAAAATTTGTATTATTAAGCATATGGACTATTTATTTAGCACTTCCTGTGTTATTTTACTGACAGTCTTGGGTACTGGCATTTCGTATTAGGAAGAGGCAAATGGCATGGTGATAGTATTGCCCACTCTAATCCCTCCTACACTATTAAAGACCTCTTTACTATTATCGCCTTTCTGGACATTATTTTCACAAAATCAGCCACTCCCCTAAATAAACCCAATATGGATTACTCAGTAACTTTGTTGAGAAGAAATGATATCCTGAAAAGTTGTGCTTTTCTTATCTTTCCCTACGTTAGACCAGAGTAAAATAAAATGCTTAGAAAGATATTCTGCCCTGTCTCTTAAACATTTTAGCTTTAATAAATTTGCAGGGAAATAGCTTGGACATAAATGTAGATGATATACTTTATATTACTTTCGTGAAATACTATAGAGATTGTATGTTAGTTTCTTCTAATGTTTTAGGATTGCTTTCAAAGTGCTCTGAAGGTATATTTTAATAATCAGCCAAAGAAAATTGGAGTTCTGAAAATGCAATTTGTTTATCAAAACAGCAGAAACCCCCTCTCTCTTCTATATATGATTTAATTAAGAGTTTACTGAGGACAGGCCCTGTATCTATCAGGCAAGGCACAAAAAATGGTCCTCAAGGTCTTGTTAGATAAAGTATTCAAATAAGTTTAACCCACCTTAGAATCCTCAGACAGTCTTAGGACTCTTAATGTAATATATTAATTGTGGGGGAAAAATCCCAAATCATATTTTAATTTTTGAGATCTAAAAAAATTACAAATCATAATCTACTTGCATTCTTATATTGAAACTATATACTAAATAGAAAAATAATAAATAAAAATATAAGGAAATCAATATATGTCAAATAAACATTAAAGTAAAAATGTGGGGTATAGATATTGAGAAACTGTAGCATTAAATAATCGCCATGTCACCATTCTGAACAGAATAAACACAAAGTGCTGAATACATACTGCAAAGTGTGTGTCCACATTCCCCAAAACCTAAATTATCTGTTAGTATGATAGATATTGGGAAATATATTAATTCTTTCATTTTATTAGCATTTTAACAGCTCAAAACTTAGTGTGTGTATATCTATATATATAGATATACACATATATATACTGTATATATATACTATATATATATACATATATATAGTATATATCTATATATACTATATGTATGTATATATATACTATATATATAGTATATATATATAGTATATATATACTGTATATATGTATGTATAGATATATACTATATATATATAGTATATATATGTCAGTAATTCATATTATTGCCCAGGGCACACTTGCTACAACAGAATGACCCAAGCAGTGAAAAAAAATATAAATCTTTAAAAAAAGTTTTTTTTTGAGATAGACTTTCATTCTTGTTGCCTAGGCTTGAATGTAATGGTGTGATCCTGGCTCACTGCAACCTCCACCTCCCAGGTTCAAGCAATTTGAGTAGCTGGGATTACAGGTGCCTGACAGCATGCCCAACTAAATTTTTTTGTGTGTATTTTTAGTAGAGATGGGGTTTTACCATGTTGGCCAGGCTGGTTTCGAACACCTGACCGCAAGTGATCTACCCATCTTGGACTCCCATAGTGCTGGGATTACAGGCGTGAGCCACCGGCCTAGCCAAAAATAGAAATCTTTTGGTCCTATTTTTACTTTCCAATTGATAATATTTCCTGTCTTGGTTTTAATTAACATTTATGCTAAAATTTTTGTGCAGGTATCATTCCTTTTGGAATGAGATATTATCTTTTCGTTCTTATTCAGAATGTCAAATTCTATTGTTTTCCTTTATTCTCGCATGACAGGTGATACTATATTGTGGGTAAAATCAAAACAAGCAACCTACCTGTACTGATATTGAAATGGAACTTTTAATTTTTAGAAAGGCTGAAATTTGACTTTCGTTTTTTAAGAAAATAGATGATATTATTTGTTATCATTTTGCTGGTTTAGTTTGTATTTTCAAGCTCTATGCTTACATCAGAATCCATTGGAGGGTATTTTCTTCCTTTGCTCTTTCCAAGGCATTTTGTTTTACCTTCTTCCAGTAACTGACACCAGAAACCTTTATGGGAATCAAACCTAAAAAAAAAAAAAAGAAATACACACACACACAAAACCAGAAAATCATTTTTCAACCGATTTATATGACATAGTGACCAATACATAGATATTTTCTTTGCATAACAACCTATAACCAGAGAAACCGAATTTATTTTTTACTATATTCCTTTGCATAAAGACTGTTGGCATACTTCTAAATTCTTAGTCCATCTGTCATCTTTGTGAGTTTGCCAGGTTCCTAATAGAAGAATTGTCAGCAGGTCTTCTATTAATAGAAATTAATAAGGCTACCTTCTTCATCTGGAAGGAAAGCATTTATAAATTTTCAATTTTTTGGTAGGGTTTAAAAACAAGTCAGTCTTCATCCATGTCTACGGATTTAGAGGCAACTTATATCATACAACTACAAGGTAATTGAAGAGAAAAGGTTTCAGCGTATCATGCGGTGATTACTTTTAGGATTCTCTAGCTATAGAGCTACTTTCTTCTTTTTGTATGAGCTCTGTATTAAAGTAATAGCACCTATAAATGAACTTTTTATGCCAAAATTATAATAAACAATAGTACATTAAATATATATTTTATCTTACCCAACTATTTCATATAACTCTTTCTCATTTGAGGTTTCATTCTAACACTTAAGGATTTGGTGTGAAGGATTCTTCCCATTTTATAGCATTTAGCATACTGTTTTGCTCTTATAAACATTTGCCAAGTATTAGTTGAACAAAAAATGAGGAAGGAGAAAATGTTTGTCAAGGTTAATTTATCTTGTACTATATACTTCAATATTCAGGGCCTCCTGATTCTAGGTTCAGGGCTTTTTCTTTTTTACTGGTCTCTGAGTGCATTTTATATTATTATCCATTGTAAATAAAGCACTAATTTGTATGCTCAGATATAAAAGTGAAAGTAATAGTCAGCAATGATAATTCCTTTACATAGCTTTTGATGTTCAATTATTCTATTGCCATTTTTCTTCCCAATTGGAATTATTACTTCAGATGATGTTTTTGTTTGCTTTTAATCTGTTCCACTTCTAGGACTGTTACTTCCAACACTTTGCTTAAATTTATAATGTGAAAACCTGAAATACCTAGGGTGACAGTTAACAAAAAATATGCAATGGCTGCACATTTAAAGCTACCAAACAATGTTAAGAGAAATTTTAGAAAAAAAAAAAATAGAAAAAAAGGGAACTATACCATGCTCATAAATCAGAAGACTATTTTTAAAATACCAAGTCTCTCCAAATTTATCTATAGATTCAGTATGATTCCTATCAAAACTCCAGTGGACTATATTTTAGGTAGAAACTGAAAATTATTCTAAAGTACATATAAAAATGTAAAGGAAGCAGACAAGCTAAGTCAATTGGAAAACAAAGAGCAAATCTGGAGATCTTATACTATTTAATTTCAAGATTTACTGTAATTCTACAGTAACGAAGATTGTACGGCGTTGGCATCAGTGAACCAATGGATCAATGGAATGAAATAAGAAAGAGTTCAGAAATAAACCTTCACATCTATGGTCAACAGATTTTCAAAATATAGCTGCCAAGTTTAGTCAATGGGAAAGGATTAATCTTTTAAATTGCACAAGAAAAATGGGATATCTATATGAAAAAAGTGAACATTGACCCTTACCTCATGTTGCATATAAAAATTAACTTGAAATGCATTATTGAGCTATACCTAAACTATAAAATTTAAGCTAAAAACTTAAAAATTTATAGCTAAAATTATTATAATTCTGAAAGAAAACATAGGGAAAAAGCACAAAATTTTGTAACCTTGGGTTAGTTAAAAATTTCTTAGGATGAACCATAAAGGAAAAATAATGATAATTGTGAATTCATCAAAATTTAAAATTTTTGCTCTTTTAAAGACACTTTAAAAAATGAAAAGGGAAACCACAGAGTGGGAGAAAACATTTGTAAAAAATATATCTAATACAGAACTTGTATTTGGAATATATAACTCAATATAAAAGATAAAATTATCAATAAAAACTGGATAAAAGATTGGAACAGGCTGGGCGCAGTGGCTCACACCTGTAATCCCAGCACTTTGGGAGGCTGAGGTAGGCAGATCACCTGAAATCAGGAGTTTGAGACCAGCCTGACCAACATGGAGAAACCCCCATCTCTACTAAAAACACAAAATTAGCCAGGCATGGTGATGCATGCCTGTAATCCCAGTTACTCAGGAGGCTGAGGCAGGAGAATCACTTGAATCCAGGAGGCAGAGGTTGCGGTGAGCTGATACGATGCTATTGCACTCCAGCCTGGGTAACAAGAGCAAAACTCTGTCTCAAAAAAAAAAAGATTGGAACAGACACTTCACCAAACAACACATGAATGGTCAATGAACAAATGAAAATTTGCTGAACATCATTTGTCATTAAGGAAATACAAATTAAAATCACAAATTAAATAGCACTGTACACCCACTAGAATGACTGAATTAAAAAATACCAGGTGTTGGCAAAGATGTGGAGCAAACATAATTATTGGTAGAAATTGAAACTATTTCAACTTTACTTTGTAAAATTTCTTAGAAATTAAAATACATAACTACTATATGACCCACCAAACCCACTGCTATGTTTTTACTCAAAGGCAATGAAAATGTATGTCCACACAAAGATCTTTACACAAATGTTCACAGTAGCTTTGTTCATGATAGCCAAAAAATGCAAATTACTCATGTCATCAACTGATGAAAAGATAAACAAGTTGTGGTATATCCATAAAATGGAGGACTACTTAACAATAATAAAGAATTGACTCCTGATAGATGTAGCAACATAGAGGAAACTCAAAAGCATTATGCCAAATGGAACAAAGTAGCTTGCTGACTGCCAGGGTTCAGGGTGCATAGAAAGCGTTGACCACAGAGGATCATGAGGAAACTTTTTGGATTAATGGAAATGTTCTATATATTGATTTTTCTGGTACAAAACTACTGTATACATTTGTATTCATCAACTGCATAATTACAAGGGGTGATTATATGTACATTATACGTTAACAAAGCATTTAAAATAAAGTGTTATTTAATGTGTGCATGTGTATGTGGGAGTGTAGTCTATATGCAGCTGATCTTGTAGAATTTATAACTCCAGCCCTATGAAAAGAATGCAAACCTAGACTTCTGCCTCTGTAAGACTTTGTGTATTAGAGAGAATAATCACAGTCCATTTATGTAAAGCCTGGTTTCTCATCATTATTAAAGCAATTATGTCAGATCAGGACACAACATTTTATGTCTTCATGCTGTTTATATTCTTGCTTGAATCAGTAAGGCAACTGAATAAATTAGTGCTATATTCAGAATTACAAAGAGAGCATTAATAAAGACTGTATTATTTAAATAATCTGTTTATGAAAGCCTTTGGGAAACTCTAATACAACGTTTCTGGAAGTCTGCAGTTGATGTAATATTTTTTATTAACATTTTGCTATCAGCAATTTTCAAAATCAAATTCTGATATGATCAAAATTCAGAATCCAGACTAGTAATTATTTTTTTTGCTAAGGCAGCTTGCTGTAGATACATAACTGGAACATACATATGCTGTGTGTTAAAATGAGTAGTCTTCTGAGAGAAAGTTTTTCTAAGAAACACTGAACTCCACACATACTAAAATTAAGAATCAAAAGAAAAATAGGTTTTTCTTTTATCTCTGCTAATTAATTAGATCTTATGCAGCAGGTGTCATGCTGAGCTTTACTGAGAAAAAAATTATGTGTGTAGCTGGCACCTGGGCTAGGCATCTGTATGCATAAATTCATGGGCAATGGTAGAAGTGTGTCAGGGTGCAAATGAGAAGGAGAAGCTGGAAAGGAAAGCATGTTTATTTATTTATTTATTTATTTTTGAGACGGAGTTTCACTCTTGTTACCCAGGCTGGAGTGCAATGGTGCGATCTTGGCTCACCGCAACCTCCGCCTCCTGGGTTCGGGCAATTCTTCTGTCTCAGCCTCCTGAGTAGCTGGGATTACAGGCACACGCCACCATGCCTAGCTAATTTTTTGTATTTTTAGAAGAGATGGGGTTTCACTATGTTGACCAGGGTGGTCTCGATCTCTTGACCTCGTGATCCACCTGCCTCAGCCTCCCAAAGTGCTGGGATTACAGGCGTGAGCCACCGCGCCCGGCCCTGAAAGCATGTTTATTTACCCGATGGCCTTAGGAACTGGGTCTGGTCCTTCATAGAGAACTGTCATAGATAGATGAAGGCACTGCTGTTCATTGAGTTTGGGACACAAGTGATACTATTTCAGAGCCCAGATGAAGAAGTGTAATAGAAGATGGAGAAAGATCTCCTCACATCTATTCAGAAAGCAGCAGTGTTTCTCTGAAGTCTGGTGGAACAGCAAGGAAACAATCTGTTTATGAAAGCACTGGCAACCATTGTCATGGCTGGGCCCCTCCTTTCAAGGCCTTTAGGCAGTGAACATGTTGGAGAAGTCTTAATGTATTGTTTAGTGCCCACTTTTATGGCTATCCTAATCTGGAGGTGGGGATACTTTGTTTATTATTGTGTCTTCAGAGTCATGCACATAATAGTTATTCAAGAAAGTTTTGTTGATTTAAAGAGTAAAACAAGAATGGATAAGAATGGCTCTTAAGCTTGTATGGAATATCACCTGGGATGTTTAGAACTAACTGTAAAAGACTTGTGGGCAGGGGCACCAAGATTCTCTAATGATTCAACCTCTAAACAGTGACTTTTTTTTTTTTTTTTTTTTTAGAGATGGAGTTTCACTCTTTTACTCAGACTGAAGTGAAGTGGCGTAATCTCAGCTCACTGCAACCTCCACCTCCTCAGTTCAAGCAATTTTCCTGCCTCAGTCTCCCTAGTAGCTGGGGTTATAGGCGTGCACCACCATGCCCTGCTAATTTTTGTATTTTTAGTAGAGATGGGGTATCACCATATTGGTCAGGCTGGTCTCGAACTCCTGACTTCAGGTGATCCACCCTCCTGGGCCTCCTAAAGTGCTAGGATTA